GATTTAATTACAAATACATTTTATAATCATATTCAGACACTTCCAGTAGTGTCCGTAATGGGGTTGAAGACTAATATTGCCCACACCATAAAACAATGACCAATAATAGTAGAGATTTGATACCTGAGATGGGAATTTATGTTTTTCTGGAAGTTGAATATGTAGTTAATGTTATGGGGTGTTCAGAAAAGTCATACATTTGGTCAAAAATCTGAAATTGTCAAAGTCCAAATCACACCCCATTCGTGGAATGACCCTCCATATCAGCAACCAGCCAGAAAGGTGACGTGTTCATTCAGCACTGCACAGACCTCAGCTGCCTCTTTCAGCCTCTTTACGTTAAAGGATTGATTTATAGTCCTTATTGATCAAATGAATGATTTTGAACCCGTACCTGCTGTGGAAACTTACTCATTTTTTCCTGTGAGGGAAAATTACCGCCTGTATGCGAGCGATCACTCTGACTCTTAGAGGTCTCCTCCCCCATTCTTCACTTATTTGTGCAGTGACAATGAAGTTGAATCTAATCTAAAGAAGACAACATGAAGAATTATTTATAGATAAAATCATCAGTCAGTCGCCAACTATCAACATATTAGCCATTTATAACACACACAGAGCCAATCTACCTGGCAGGCTGTACCACTAATCTGAACTAATATAACCTCTCTCTCTCTCTCTCTCTCTCTCTGTCTTAGACTTTTATAACTTTTCATCTGAGCAGGATTGTCAGGTGAAGTCCACACGTGTCTCTTTTTACCAATAAGACTATGTGTTTTGAGCTCTCAGTGCTGAACTTATTATTAATGGATATAAGCACCTTACATGAAATCAATTTGATGATTTCAACAAAACACTTGAAAGTTCTGTTTGTTTGCTTGATGCCTTCATGTTCTGTGTCACATTTTGTATTTCTTACAGCTGAAATACCAAAAGTATGAGCTGATAACTGGTTATTTAATGAGCAGAACATGAATCAAAAATAGTTCTGATAATCAATTAAATGTTTGTTCATTTCTCAAGTGATTCTCTCTGGAAGCGTTCAAGTGTTGGACGAACGTCATCATCCCAGCTTCACAGCGCGGTAAACAACAGAGTGATGAGTCATTGTACTCACTGATTTCACAGCCTTACTGCCAATTATCAGCTCGTCAATAACTGATATATGAGATGATCTCATCTCTATCTATAATTGTGATGTAAAACAATTCTACTAAACGTGTGTACATGTGTTGTTTTTTTGGTTTATAATCTATAATGAACACCTCCTTCATTTACTTTAACTGTGTGTGTGTGTTTATTTTCACTTTCAGTTGCTACATTTTGCAGCAGGGTAGGAACAACTCAAGTCACTGTGACCTCACGAAAAAAAAAAAGAATGACCATATTTCACAATTGGTGACAGTTTTGACTCAAAGGTCAAAGGTCACTGTGACCTCAAAGTAGAGTTTTAGTCATAATTTAAGAATGAACTGTGACGACAGAATGAGTAAACAACAAGTAGCATCGTACGGGTTTCCATCTCATCCAATAGACATACAGCAGAACAAAAACAACAAGAGGGGTCAAATAAATTTGATTTATATATCCCTACCTCCAAAATAAAAAATGTGCCTCAAGGGGCTTCACAGTATGTACAGCAAACAACACCCTATATCCTTAGGCCCTTGACTGGGATGAGGAACAACTCCCAATAATAGAAGAAGCAACAGGAAGAGCAATGGAGTGTCCAGTTCCACCCTGACCACAGAGCTGGCCTTCCTTACCAGCTTGTTAAGTCTGCTGGCCTCACCCCAGCACACCACAGCAAAGAACAGAGTGCTGGCTACAGACCGGTAGATCTGCAGGAGGCTGTTAGACAAACTGAAGGAGTCACCTCAAGAAGAACAGTCTTCTTCTGCCTTCAGTTTTGTGATATAGTGATTATGATGATAGTGAACCTCCATTTCAACCAAGAAATACAATAAATACATTTTATTGATTTAATTCTGGTTTACTCCATCATCAGTCACTTGCAGGTGCAAAAAGTTAGGACAATTCCAAGGG